CTTAGATTTGACTGCAAAGATCTGAGAATGTTCTGCCAGTTGACCATTTGAGCCAGCAGGTTAGGGCTGACTTGGTTTAGCAACCTGCAGCAGAACCAAGCACATTGGTGTAGCTCAGCGTTCTTCAAACGGACAGCGCTCCAGTGTTCCATGCATGTCTAATCCTATTCCTCAGTTAACCCTCTAAGAGTTCCCGCTTTGCTTTGCATGTATTCCGTTCTGTTTTCATTAAGGGCATCTCTTCGCTGATCCATCATGTAGTTTGCTTCTCAATTTGTTTTTGTGATTTTGGGGGGAGGAGTATGTTTTGTTTATTAAGTTGTCAATACTTCCGATGTTTGGAAAATGAAAGCTAGATGTGGTTTTACTTACAGAAGAGAATCGAAGCTGTATGGACAATGCAAAATGAAATGAAACAAGTGTCAGAAACAGTTTATAAAAATGGCACATTTATTGCTACAGAACGGTCATGTACATGACTTCATCGAATAACTACAGATGGGAAACAGGTAATGGCCTAGACCAAGCTGGGTTTGTTTTTGTCTTGAAGGAACTCCAGCACACGACCTGTTTAGACACTTCTACAAATCAGATATACACCAAAAACATGAAAAAATCGAGGCACTCAGCCACACATTGAAAACAAGGTGTAACTGTTCATCTTATTTTTTTAAATTGTTTTCCCTTTTTTTTCTTTTTTTAACAAGTTTTTTTTTTTTAGTTTTTAATGCTGCAGCTATGTGTATAGTCGCAAAAATTTCCCCACTGCGACCTACAACTAAAAAACAAAACAAACAAAAACAAAACAAAAAAACAAACAGAAAAAGCTACCATACAGTTTCATCTCAGTAACACATGGTGAAGTAACATCTTTTAAATAGTAAAATAAAGTAACAAACTTTTACTCATAATGATTCCAAAAATCTACAAAGAAGAAATATTCAGAATCTGACAATTTTTTGTAATATTCATGGTATAAAAGGATTGCTCCTGCGAAAAATAAGCCAAATATATTTTTTTATTTTTAAATTTAGTTTTTTTTTCCTACTAGGGTGTACTACAGTCTATTTTATAGCAAAAAAGCACTAGACAAACAAAGCTTTATAACAAAAAGCCAGGCACTGATACATGGTAAATCTCTGCTTTTTTTTTTCTTATCTTCACTTAATTGCATCACAAGTAACAAGAATGAAAAAGGCCACAGTTCATATATTTTCACCATTACATATGTCTATAATACTTGAAATGAGTATGGCAAAACCAGCACTGCACAAAGATGAGTCCACTTCAAGTCCCATGAGAAAGAGCAGATCTCTAAAACAAACAAACAAACAAACAAACAAAGCAGAATCAGAAGAGAGGCCTAAAGGCCTTGGTGCCCCATTGTGTTGGAATTCCTCATATTCCATCTTGACTTCTTAAAAAATGTATTTGTATTTATTATTTTTTGCTTCCAGTCAGCCAGCAGACTAAATTTTTGTGCTTGTTTATGCTGAAATTGTTTCATTCCTGACTCAAGTACACTTTTGAACACAGACCATATGCGGTCTGTTGGATACAAAGATGAAAATCCTCCTGAATCCCAAGCCTTGATCAACCCCCTCCCAACTCCCCAAGCTCTCATCAAAATAAAGATCACAGATAATAATAATAATAATAATAATAATAAAGATAGGAAAAACCAAAGGACAAAAAAAGAAACAATCAGAAACAAAAACAGAAAGGAATTGGAAGACTGAATCCGAAGCAGTGCACCAGTGGGTGGACTGACAGTTGTATAAACATTAGTGTTCCTTGCAGCTACACAGAAGACAAATGGTAGAAAGTTCTAGATGAGCAGATCCCTATATTCTGCATATTCATAAATGACTTGAATGTGGAGGTGGATCAACTGTTCCAAGTGGCTTTGGAAGTCCAAGTTTCTTACACAGACACCCAGCCTGTGTCACCACGATCGATATATAGAAATCTATACACTAGAATATGGACCCTTATGAAATGTCTGTATAGTACTTCAGTCCTAACTGTTTTCTGCTAAATTTCATCTGAAAATCCAGTGCAGGATACCAATATCTTACCTGGGTTTGATAATTATAAAACAACGACAAGAAAAAAAAAAAAACACACTAAAAGGCCACATTCCCTTTTATCTTTTTCCATGGGGATACAACCCAGTGACTACGGATGGGTCCAGATCACGCTTCTCCACCAAGCCAACAGTGGTGAGCACCTTTTCTGATGGTGCTGAGAAAGTCTTTTTCCAAAGGGAATTCAACAATAGAGGTATTACATTACTGAGTAATGAATACATCAAAGCTGGTGAACAATCAATTGCAGCTTTTACTGTTTGAGAACAAAATAGAAAGCACCGATTTAGAAAATAAGCAAAGGACTACAATTTAATTTTTTGCTTTGTTTACAGATTTGAAAAACTTTAATTCAGCTCTAGCAAGCACCTTCATGATAACATGTATCAAAAGTGCCCTTCTTTAAAATGTACATCAACGCAGGGAGTGTTGCCAGTCCCCTGGAGTACACACCGCAGTTCTGTACACTTATCTGAAAGTGACCAGAGTTTGCCTGCTTCCTATTGAATAGCATTCCTAGGGATACCCGCCTTGGTGGACTGTACAGAGTGCAGAATGTACCACTGAAGGAAATTATCAACATACTGAAGGAACAAGTGCACGTGGTTACTCAAAAGGAGGGGAGGGTCGGCACTACCGTCTTCCATGCCCTTCTTTGTTCGCATATTTCACAGGAAAGCCCCAGATAACTTTTCATCAAGTTTGATTTCTGCTATTCTCCTAAGGTTTCAATCCACCTCCACATTTTAGGAACTTATCCACAAATCAAAGCGTATTTTAGTTTTATCGCTACTGAACATATTTACAGTTTTCAACACACACACAGCTAATCCAAATGGTGATGGGTTCCGTCAAGGACGACCACGTGGGTAACTACCTTATTTGTTCTTACATTTTCAGAAATGAACATAAAATTCAGATTCTTGTAGCTCACTATTTCATTTAAAGGAGACTTTTTAAAACCACAGTTTTTTTTTTCTAAAAAAAACAACAACAACAAAAAAAAAAACCCCAAAAAAACTGATACAATGTATTAAAACACATAATAACAAGAGTCTACATGTAAAAATATAACTTTTACATACACAATTGCAAAATAATGATACGTTTGCCATTTGTTGCATAAAATTTACAAATGTATTTCATTACTATATAACTGGCAAAACAGGAGAACAGATGGAACGTTTAGACCGTTTCGATGGGTTTATGGCGTTGACTCAGTGCTGATAGGTGGAGAAACTACTCGGACCGGGATTTTTGTTTTTTTAATACATGCCAAGATTGTGTGGCTGTAAAAACAGAAATGAGTTAGAGACAAAAGGATGCTGACAAATACTTAACTAGGAGCACTACTTGTTTACTGCACTATACACCAAAGTCAATCATTAGAAAGGTTCACAATGGAAATTGGTTCAATTGTGCCCAGACGTCAAAGCCCGCTATCTGATGAGTAGCTGTGCCATAGCTTGATCTATGTTTCTACCAAATATGTTAAGTATAAACTTCATCCATACTGGCCAGAGAAATACTGCACTACCCCTCCTCAAAAAAAGTGCAACTTAATGCTTTAGGACTTATAAGGCTTGTTTATAATGCTGCATGATGATTGGATATTGGCATTTTTAGATGAAGGAGGAGGCAGTTAAGTCATCTACTTTTTAGTAAACCCATTTCGGAAAAAAAAAAAAGCAACAAAATCAATCAGCTCTGTCACACTACTTGCGATTTTCTCATTTGACAGTTTTTTAACTTTACTTTTTTTATTTTGTTTTTTTTTTTTTGTCTTTTTTTTTTTTCCAAAAATCTGACCATGTATTCAGAAACGCCTCACTGCACACTACTTCGGCTACACGGCAGGTAACACTTGCATCTTCGTGTTCAATCACAGCCACTTTGATTATGTTATGTTTCCGATGATATAAACATTGGAAGGCACAGTGGTAACTTTGTAGCATTCTGACCTTGTACCTCTGAAAAGCCCAGAATAGGGTCACGGATGCAACACTACAGTCCAGACGGGCTCCTTGTGCCGCGTCCTGGTAATGCTGCTTGTCCTATCGACACGGGATGTGACTCGTTAAGTCCTGCGTTCCCAAAAGACTAGAGAAACGACTTTCCACTTCTTGATGAATGAGAAGCAACACCAGGGCCAGCGTTTCCTCCTGCAACACCCCTCCGGAAGCAGAGTTGGCACTACAGGTTACGGTAACAAACCGGGGAAGGGGGCAGAAAGACCAAAAAAAAAAAAAAAAAAAAAAGAAAAAGAAAAAGAAAAAAAAAAAACAAAAAAAAAAAAAAAAAACCAAAAAAAAAAAAAATCCATATTTACAGTAAAATCTTTCTTTTAAAAAAGTTAATCAGTACTATTTTTTTACAGGAGGAAAAAAAAAGTCTGAAACAAATGAACAAAAGCTTACCATAGTCACTAAATTTTTAATATATATTTATATATATATTTATATATATATTTCTCATAGGTCTATAAGATCATCTGTCCCTCCTACCCTAAGGAATGGCTAATGTCATCACTTCGCTGTCAGGACGTTTGCTGGTTTTGTTACTAGGGCAGCCAAGCTTCCCTATTCAATCTCCAGGAATTATAAACACTAGCTGACTTGAATACCAACAAAAGCGTTCATGTAGTTTTCTTCAGAAGTACACTTTTTCATTATTGCAAGTTTACAATTTTTTTTTTAAATTAAATATTTTTTTTTCAGACTTACAAATTAATTATATTTTTTTTTTTCTCCAAAAGAAGTTTAGGCACAAATGCATTGTTCCACAGTGTGGAAGGATTGCCATTCAGTCTCTGGGCTGCGTCTCAGCCTGTACATACTGCTTTGCACATTCTGAATGATATGTTAAAGGAAGTCGTCCCTCAAGTTGCACTGTTTCTTTCTTTTTTTTGTTTGTTTTTCTGTTTTTTGATAATTGGGAATGCTGAAACCTCTTGCGTCTGCGATTCGTAACTACTCAGACTTGTCTTATATTACAAAAAAAGGGGTTAAGGAGAAGTGTTTATGTGGGTTTAAGATAATACAGCTGTTAAGGAAGTGGTCTCTTGTTTTAATGAAGCAATGTGGCAACTTGGACCTGGGGAAGGAAAAAAAAAAAAAAGAGAAAATCAATGAATGTGCTTCCTACAAAATGCTTTTCCCAGGGAAAAAATTATCTGTGGATTTAGGCAAAATTGGACTTTTCTAGCGGACGAAGGTGCGGGTGCAGGGGGTGAAGGAATGATTTCACAAAAGGTGGAAAGCAAACTTGCCCTTTTACATCTGTCCCATGTGATTGGAAGCGTCTCCCATCGCAGGGTGGGGGCCGGCCAAGGAGAGGGGCGGCGGCTCCGAGGACACCTTCTCTTCCTCCCTTCTTTTCAGACAGGCTGCTTTCGGATTGAGGTTCCTTTCTGTGCAGGAGCAAAGAGAGAGCACGGAGTCAACGGGCAGACTTCCGGCAGCGGGGAGCAAAGCGTCAGAGCCGGCTGCTCCGGTTCTACACTGCAGAACAGCAGGACTGGCTGCTGAACTCATACAGCTGCTTTCCAGCATAAAAATGGTGGATGAAGCACACAGAATAAGCTCAAGTTACTAATAATGCATATGGAAACCTTAAAAAAAATTTTTTTTTCCTAGAACTTCAGTACAAGAAAAGGAACACTGCCTTCCAGATTCTACCCAGTCATTGCAAGTGATGCTTAGATCTACTGCAGGCTGCTGCTCATGCCTGGGACGTCGGCCCAAGCGGCACTGACCTCGGACTTGCTGCTCCAGGCTGAGGATGACGGCCACGGCCTGGTGCAGGATCAGGAGCTTGGTCTGTGGCTTGTCACTCTTGAGGTGCAGCTGCACCATGCGGCCCAGCTCCTTGAACGCCTCATTGATGTCGCGCACGCGCAGGCGCTCGCGGGCGTTGTTGGCCATCCTCCGCTCCTTCTCACGCTCAGCCTTCTGCTCAGGGGTCAGGTCCTCATCGTCATTATTGCTGTGGGACAAAAGAGAGGCGACATTTTCTAATGGTGTGGAGACAGAAAGGAGGTGCCTAAATTACTCTGCCTTGTTGCAGAGTCTTTAGGGAACCTGCCATCCTTGTGAGGATTTTATACCCACTTGGCTTTGGGCTTGGCTTAGATGGCTGTATCCACACACAAGAGCCTGGGTTTCTTGACACTGTACCCAACCCCAACTGGGCACCAGACCTGGGTTAATGCGAAGGCCCATGGTGCAGCCATAGAGATGTGGGACAGGTCTCGGGCAGAGGGTAGAAATGGGAAACTGAACCTTTTAATCAGTAAGTTTACACCTGCAAATAAACCATCACCGACTTACATTCCGCTTCCACCACACTGCCATTGTTAAACAATTTCCCTGTGTGGCAATGGGACACAGTGTGACAACTGGAACAAATGACTGGATAAAGATCTCAGTGGGCCAGAATGAACACGAGTCAGCTGGTGAAGGAACTGCGATACTGAAGGTACCAGCTGATGGGAGGGGTGGACAACAGAGGTCTTGCCAGGCCTGCCCAGCCACCTAGCCTGCTTCAGTCTCGTTTTCTCCATGTATTAAACAGATGGGTATTGGCTATACAAACAACAAAAAAACCAACCTCCTCTTAGAAAATGACCATGAGTCAGAACAAAGGTGAAAGTGGATCTCTGATAGCTCCTAACCAAGGCAGAGCGGGATCCAGGGTCAGCGTGCAAGGTGAGACTAGTTCCAGCCATTTGTGGGTGTCACACTGACCCATGGGAAGTGTGTAAGGAAAGGGCAGTGGATGATGAGATCCCTGGAAAGGGGAGATACCTTAAGGCAGAACAGAACCCCAGACTCTGAATGATTACTGTGAATTACATTCAGCAAGAACCTTTCTAATATTTAGGGGGCAGGTGAGGGTGAGCAAGCAACAAAGTGGGGATCACTGACAAGCGACCACCTCCTCCTGACAAGACTAATGTGCCTTCCGTCACAGTGTCAGTCTACAGATCAACTACTGGTCCTACAGAGCCAGAAAAATCGACTTCTAATAAACTTGAAACCTTCACAGACTACTACGGCCCCCTCATCTCAGAGCTCGAGGACAAGCAGGAGAGGTTATCCGGTCAGTTTGGCTTCTCCATGGAGACTGAATGAATGCTGGCTTAGAACGGTGACTGACCATCTTCCAGGGTGGGCAAGGCTTGGGTCACCTCCAGGATGCCAAGAGGAGACGTGCTGGTCAATCATAAAGCAGCATATTCTTGGACCATAAGAACTTGTAGCTCAGGAAGGTGATGTGTGGAAGCCATGAACATTTGGGGAGAGAAGGAAAGAAGGAGAGGGGAGAAGATTCTAAAGAAAGATGCTCCAAGACTGGGCTTCTCTATAAATGTGTTTGTCGGTGACACGCCTGCCACACGGGAGTGTGTGGGTCAACACACAGTTCTACCGAACCATCGAGAAGGCCTTCCGACACTCTCCTTCTCTGCTCATCACCTCGGCAGGAACCAAGGGCAATCAAGGCTACTGCTAACTCACTCCTGCATCCCACGAGGCAAATAGGCTGCAATAAGCGAAAGGGAATAGAACTGAACTATGGCTGGGCTTGTTCCAAAGCTGATTCTTTTTTTCCAAGAAAGATTTATTTATTTGACAGAGAAATACACGTGCAAAGAGGGAAAAAAGAGAGAGGGTGGGAGATTCGGATTTGATTTCCGACAGCTGCTGGTCTAAGTGTCCTGCGTGAGAGCGTACCACCTTCTGCTGCTTTCCCAGGCACGGCAGCAGGGAGCTGGACTGGAAGCAGAGCGGCAGGACTGGAACCAGTGCTCTTATAGGATGCCAGCTTAAGCCACTGCTCTGCAACACAGATCCTCTGGGCAGCAGAGGGCTTGACAACCACATACCTTACACACAGAGAACAAGGAAATGGGATGCGTGGTTCAAACACAAGAAAATTCTCAGTAACAAGTTAAGATGCTGCTGCTGTGAAACTACACACTGCAAAGAACCCCTGACTATGCATAAGTTATGGCCACCAGTTACATTGCCAAGGCTTTGCGGAGCAGTGGGCCAAGAGAGAACGGACTCAGAGAGAGGCTGTTGAGGATGTGAAACTCTCAGTGTGGCCAGGATCAGGAGATGTAAGGATGGTGGCACGGGCTAAGCCAGACGCGTTTAGCATTCTGGGGACTCTGGCAGGACATGTAATTTACTGCCATAATTGTAGGGACAACTTGAGAAGGCAGCATGCTCTTCATTCATCAAAGACAATGGATCCATCCTGAGAACCACAGCTGTTGAATGAAACTCAGAACTTCAGTGGAAAGGGTTTAACTTGCAAAGGCGAAGGGTATGGGTGCATGGTGTCAAGGTGCATCGGATCTCCAGACTAGAACTAAGCTCAAAGCACAGACACTCGTGTAGAGAACTGAGACATAGACTTAAGGAATTACCCAGAGGCCATTACCTGCAGTAGCGTTTCTATAGAAAGAAGGATGGGGGGAGTGGGATCAAATCAGCAATTTAGAGAGCATTTTTACACCAACATGTTTTGGATAAAACTGGGAATCCATTTTTGTTTTCATTTCAGTGATAAGAAAGTTACATTTGATTATACATTAATGAAAGTTTTGAAAATGGCTAAGACACTTTCAGAAATGTTTAGAAAGAACATCTCTGATCAAATTTGTACAATAAGTATCATTTGAAAATTAAACGGCTTGTATTTGCCATCAGTCACAAATGGCTTTTACGGTGTGCAATTGGTGTTAGGTCCGAATTAACAAACATGAAGCACCTCGGGCCTCTCTGAGCGCAGGTTCTTACTTGACACTGCTTCCAGAGAAACCTTTTTTTTTTTTTTAATTTTAACTGCACATTTACCTGTCAGGAAAAAACTGAATAGTTTCTTCCTGTTCTGTTCACTTCATCAAAGTCCAATAAAGGAATTAAATGAAGCGACAGTATTATATACTGTTACCTAGATCTTGACCTAGTAATTGATTTGATATCCTTCTTGTCGTCATCCAGTTTCTTGTCCTCGGAAGACTTGGCGTCCTGCAGGTTCTCATCACCCTCGTCATCAGACTTGATCTCAGAGCTGCCGGAGGAGACGCTCTGCCCCTGCAGTCCCGGTGGCATGCCTGCAGATCAGAGCGATGCAGGTGACACACGCGCACACACACGTGGCAGACACGCTGCTCAACTGTGATCTTTCTGTCACTTCTTCCCTGCTACCTGGGCAAGTTTCAGAAACGCACCTGCAGGAACAAGTTTTCCCCGCACTGACTCTGAGGTTAAATTCTATTTTGCAATCTTTTGGAGTAGATGGTAATTTCACTGTCTACAAAACATCAACTTAATTGCAATGAAAATCATAATCATGAAAATCACACACCTCAATGTTCTGATTAAGAACCCAAGTAAATATCAGCTATTATATTGAGTTTCTTCCATATGCAATGATTTAATAGAAAAATGTCCTTAAAATATAATTCCCAGGGATACGCTAAATGCATGTTGTCAAGAATTCAATAGACACCCTAATGATGTTCTGAAATGAGGCTTCTCTTACCCCCAAAGAGTAGTCAGCATTTAAACATGTACATATGGAAGTGGCTCAGTGCTCACTGAAGGCGTCCCAGGCTTCACCAATGCTCAGCTTTTCCAGGCCACGCCACACTGAAACACGTGACTCTAAGGGGAGAAACGTGTCGAGCGCTTTCTTCTATTTACCATCTGTGCGATGCAAACCTGGGCACTCCAAACTCAGTGCCCGGCCCAGGAGCACCCTCAGTGCCCGGGAGGCCCTGGAGATCAGGACCCAGAGGCACCAAGGCAGAGCCTGTGCTTACACACGAGTCTCGGGTCACACACACCACATCGCAGTTTAAGATGCACAGGTCTAGAGCAAAAGCAAAAGCTTTTGAAAATATAGGTTTACTAAATTACATATAGATAGATAGACAGTTAGCTAGATGGATGGAGAGAGAGAGAGAGAGAGAGAATTCAGAAGCTCATGAAAAATGCCTCTTTTGCAATCCGTGCTGTGCACAGATTTTAATTTTCACAAACGTTCTGAAGTACCCTTCTATTACTGTCCAGATAAAAATGGGCAGATGTATATCCACTTACAAAAAGAACATTCAGGTGTGTACTATGTTGAACCACTGGCAAGGTGCTTATCTATGGCCCTGTGGTAGTATTATAATGTGTTTTAAGCACAAAGGGAAGGAAATGCTATTTCAGTGACTCCGATCAGCTGGTCAGTGCTGGCAACAGGAGCCGGGGGTCCAGGTTTTGCCCCTTGTGGCACAACTTCCTGCGGTCACAAGAAGTCCCTTGTGCTCGGCAGTACAAGTTCATGGTCAGGGGGCTATATGACTCAAGAGCAAATGCCATCCAACCAACTCCATTTTTAAAATGTACCTACATTTCCTTCCATCTTCAACAACAACAACAATTTCCTTCCTTCCTATTCATTTGGAAATATCATTTTCAGACCACAACTAACCATATTAGAGGACCCGAATGAGTAAAATGTGGAAATAGCTAAAATAAAATTTCCTCTCATCAGCCTGTTGTCTCATTCCCTGCTGAAATAGGACCAGCATTTCAGAGGATGTTTGAAGAAAACAGTTACTGAAGAAACACAATTAGCAGGCTAAGTTCTGTTCTGACTCCTTTTGCATTTACTCACTGCTTTTGTACCACATTTGTTTCTTGGTTCTCTGCCAGTGCTTCCTGAAGGCTGACGCCAAGCAAGTTTGGCATCTACGTGGAGTCTACCCTTGTGCGAAATGAGGCCCGCTCTGCCCTTCTCAGATCCACTCACCTCTGTACGGATCCTGGGGTGGGTTCAAGTCAGGGGAAGTTGCAGACTGGACAGGAAGCTGAGGAACCGGAACCTGATTTGGCAGAAGGGAATGGCTGCCTCTCAGGGCCACGCCGTCCTCACGGTGGGCCCCAACCTGAAATAGAGACAGGAGACAGAGGGTCAGGGGCAGCCAAGGCCAAAGACCCAAACACAGGAAATGGCCTTTGAAAAACAATACTCCCCCCAAACAGCTCACTAGAGGGCGCTGAAGGATCGCACATGCACCTTGAGCTCCCTGCAGAAACACTTAACGCTCGGTAAGATGCCGAGCTGTACATCTAGTGACAAATATGGCAGAGGAGCTCAGGCAGGTAAAACGTCAAATTGTCTCCCAGGGTGCTGCAGTGGAGCGCACTGATTCGTACCCATCTGTCTTCCATCATGTCCGCCAACAGATCTGACAATTATCTTAATGCCCATATGCTTAATTGTGGGCTTCTCAATTCCCCCTTTGCTATCGGAAATCCTACAGGAATTTCAATTTGGCATTCGACTTTCATTTCAGGGGATAAGATTCTCAGGCCTGCCATTTTTTTTTCCATAATGCCAGCTAAGCCTCTGACAGCGGAAGCTACAGCAGTATGGGACACAGCCCCTGCTCGGTACAAATATAATAAAATGTCACCTGGCTTTCCAAAACTGGCAGCCCATTCCAAATTAATGTTTACTGTATTTCATCAGCTGCTGAGTTCCAAATCCAAAGGGGGACAGTTTCTGCCAATGCCACCACACCGGAAAATGTACCAATAAAGGTTTTATTAAACACACCAGTAATGCCATCATTGCCATGCAAGGATGTCTGGACATTTTTCCAATTTTTTTTTTTCACTATCCTGATCCTAGAAACCATATTGTAAATACTCTTTATGTGTCCAAGAGTAGAATTATAGAGTGCAGCATGATGAGATGATTTAAAAATATATATACACTGCTGAGCTTTTTATGAACTATTACTACCTGCTCGGGGTCCGGAGACAGGGCGCTGAGGCACTGGGACAGCACTGGCTGACTTTCTAACAGACACCTTAGAGCAAAACCATTCGGCACTGGCACCCCAAGAGGAACACAACTGGCTCACATTTTCCTTTGTAGTTTCAAGCAGTTGCTTTGGTGGCCTCTGGTAAGCGAGCACTGGCGTGGGACAGTGGGTCCCACACCAGCGCCTACTTATCTGTGTACCGACACGGTCATGAGTCAAAGGCTGTTTTCTCCAACCCCAAACCGTAACTCTCAAAGCAGAACCTTCCCTCTCTCGCTTGCTTCTAAAGTGTTTTTAAAGAACATGACAAGAATCTCAATTGACAACGATGAAATTCACAGGCCAGGGGTGCACAGCACTTCAAGGGAGCCAACTACTCCGGGTCAGCTTTCCTCTTCCTAGCTGCACACCCCGCCAGAGTGTGAAGGCAAACAACCAGGGGGTGAGACTAGATAAACCATTTCATTATTCAGATCGAAAATACGGTCAGAATGACAAAGGACCAGCAACGTTCTAGGAGCAGGAGCAAAATGGGTGTTTTCAGCCGAGCGATGTGCGGAGGGCCGTACTGCCTTCCACGTACAGAATTCTGTAGGTGGACGTCATCTAGCCTCTCCACGTGGGACCTGAAGCCCACTGAGACCCCAGAGACTTTCCAAAGCAGCTCATTCCATTTCTGCCACAAACTGAGCACTTTGTTAATTCCACTCACCAGCCCCAGTCTCAGCCTCTGATGGTCATGGATCAAGGGCAAGCCTGTGCTAACGGTCACCCTGACTGCTGCGCTGCCTGCAGCCTTGCTCGTGCCTCGGGTCAGTTCTTTCAGGCAGACATGCCCTACTTCTTTGATCACTCCTCTCTCACTCTGTTCACTATGTTTTTATTTTTCTTTTAAACCGAGGTATGCAAAAGTTGTCTTTGATGAGCCATTATCAATGCACTTGGAGACCTGATTCAATCATTGGTTATCCTTTTGGTCTGAGGTGTCGATGCCTACACTTGAATTTTACAGACCTTGGTCGTGGTGGTGCTTTATGGCTCTGACCAGTTTGAACCTGAACAATGACCTTGGTGTCGATTCACATTTATGGGTATTCCCAGTGGAACTATTTATTTCTTTATTTTAATTTCCACAAAGGAACATTCAAAGTCAGCATTGCAGACTGGAAGCCATTGGCAGCAGTCAGGCACACTCCACCACAGTCTACAGAATTAACACTGTCAAGCCTCGATAATACAACACTTAAAACACAGGCAGTTACTTATCTTGAAATGTTTATCCCTCCAGGATCCACTCAGGTGAGTTTTCGTGAGAAAAAAAAAAAAAGCTCCTAACCAATGACCTCTGTTGCTGTCTTTTTCTTGTCTTTGCTCCAACTATTACGAAAGACAATGTGACCAAGGGACAAGCAACAATGAGTGTCAACCATGTCCAGCTTCTAATTTTTACTGATTTTCTGCTACTGTGCAAGCACCATGAGCTAAACAGATGCAAGATGAAGAAATTGACACCACCGGTTACTGAGGGCAAGTGGCACGTTTGCTGTCAGAAGCAGCAACAGAAAAATAAGGACTGGTATAGAATATGGACACAAGGATTAAAGAGTATCGAGTGCTTTAATAAAACAAGCAAGCAAACAAACCAACCTGGCTATTTTTACACAGTAAGAGCCCAGGTGGTTCAGGAATGCCTGCAGCTGGGGCTATCTTTGCAGCCTTTGTACTTTGGCCACATTTCATTGGATTTCAAATATTTTTCTTGTACAATAAGGGTAAAAATCATAAATGTTAGATATATATTTGAGAACATTATTTCAACTATGCTTTTGTGTGGATTATATGTATGTATATTTTTTTAACTTTGTCTATTTCTAATAGCTATGCCATCTCAAAAACCTTCAGTCCGTTGCCGTAAAGGAAACTAGGGACTAAGTCGTGACTGATGTTTTAAGGCCTCCCTTGTAAACTATGCGTACTCTGGGTTACACAAAAGACCTCTGACTAGTCCACATCCATGTGGCAATGAACTTGATTCTGCCGGATGAATTCCACTGCCCAAGGCTGTGGAGTATTCCCACTGGAAGAATTAGTTTTGCTTTGCTTGTCTCCTTGGCCAACGACAGCACGTTCTAATCCTACTTGTTTAGTTTTCAGAAACCTTATTTCTGGTCATATAATAAAGGAACAGAAGATATACTCATCCCCAAATCACTTCTAGAATAACTACACAGTACCCAATACAGCCATGCACATATGTAAGGGTCAGGGGCTTGTCTACACCATAATAAATACATAAAGGAATAGGAAAAAATAGATTCTTTCAACTGAGATAGATAGATAGATTTTAATGATGAAATATGGTGCCTAGTTTTAGAAAATTCATGCTTCACTATGGCCCCATTTTGATAACCTTTTAATCTAGATAACAGTAGTCTAAAATCAAAAGCTAGCTTAAAAGAGTTGATTATGTTAATACTGACTATAATCTTTTACAATCTTTAAGAAGTCTTCTCACTGGCTCTATGATACATTTTAGATAATACATCTTAAAATCAAGATTGAAACTTAAAAACATTACTTGATAACTACTAATCGGCTGATCTAAGAGTGCATTTTTTAATTCAGCCAATAATTTTAATCTGGACCAGATCTGTGCCTTTGGGAGGTGTTGGGGGAGAAGGTGATAAATAGCTCTCTCGTGGTCCCTGTCCTCAAGCTGCTTCCTTTTGTGGAAATTTTGTGCCCTGATCCATCCCATTCGGCAGGCTTACTAGGAAGAAACATGAGTATCAAGACTTATCAGGAAGATGTCTGTAGCTTATATTTTAGACCTGGACAGTCTTGGAACTGGAGGCCACTGCACAGTAGCTCTCCCTCCTTTGCTGGTCCCCTTGCCTCTGGCTGCCTCCCATACTCTCAGGACTGCAACCGCCATGGTGCCACCTGGAACATTTTTGAGGCCTGCACCTCAGGCTATGTTCCTCTCTGTCCCTGCATTTCCAACTTTTGAATGCTGAGATTATCTGGTTTCCCCACTCATCATGTTAACCAGATGTGGGTGAGGTTAACACCGGGAGGAACCATTTCATCCTCAGACCAGCCAGGATCATGTGCTGCCCTGGTTCATTGAGACAAGATTATGATGTTCAAACATGGTGGGTTTGGCCTGTTCCTTCCACAGATTTATTTGATAGGCAGAGGGAGGAAGAGAGAGATCTTCATCCTTAGGTTCAATCTCTAAATGCCACAAGACAAGAGCCAGTCAAAGCCAGGAGCCAGAAACCCATCCAAGTCTCCTCCACAGGTGGCAGGGACCCAGATGTTTGAGCCACCATCAGCTGCCACCCATAGCGTGCTCAGCTGGATGCTGGATTGAATCGTCTATACTCCGACAGGAGACGTGGACATCCCAACCTAGGACTGAATGCCTATTCCATCCCTTCTTTGGCATCCTGTAAGCACCATCTAATTTTCATCTTACTTTGTGAGGAAAGGATTAGTATGTTGGAAGCATGTTTAGATCCCAGAACTCACATTTTAAAAGGTTTGGAGGGATTTGGCAATCAGCTTCTAAACTCTTCATTTCCCAAAGAAAGCTAAGGCTAGACATGGTTAAGGAGCTCAGCTAGTGTCTAGGGGACTAAAATAGAACTGAATTCAGAAACACTAAACAGCTTTATTGGATAAATATATTACTTTCTATATCACATTGGATATATTAAATAAGGATGGCTGCAGTATGCAGAGAGGAGGAGAGAGTTAAGGGGCAAAGGAGGCTTGCTTTCTGGAACTTCTGTTTTACAACACACATACACTCCTACAGAAGCATGTTCTATGTGTAGTTATACGTATATACAGATATGAAAATCATCTATCAGGAGAAAAAAAAACATAGTTCACCAACTCAGGCCAAGACCAAGATGTTTAACTAAATTACAAAATTTAATATTTGCCACAACTCCTCTGACGTAAACAGATTTAAAAGACATGCAGTTTCAAATTAGGTGGCTGTTGGCCAGGTGGTTTTTCTACGGAGATTCAAGCGTGGCGCATCTTGGTAAATACCCTTCTCCTTATCCTCAAGCTAACAACAAACAGCGCAAACAGAAAAAGAC